GTGGGCTACCTTTCTGCGTGATTTCGAGCAGGTCTCGTCAATTACTGGCGCCTATGTAGCGGGCTGTTTGATCAGAAGAAGCATATGGTGTTGCTTGTAGGCTGGGAGTAATCACGGGAAGAGAAGAATAGCCGAGCCCCGTCCCTCGGTGGCAGCGCAGGATGCTTCAATGCCCTGGGGAACCGTGTGGCGAAGTGCGCCGGGGCCGGGGCCGCTGCCGGCCGCAGCAGATGCTAATTTGAGCCAAGAGACGGAGGAGGAGGAGGCTCGGCAGGGTTTTGGAGGCAGCGAAGCCTCCGGAGCCCGATTAAAGGGAAGCTGCGCGTTAAAAACGACGGCGGCAGGCGGGCACCCAGGGGCTCGTCCCGCCGGGGCTCCGCGAAGGTGCGGAGTGGGGTGCGCGGCCGGCCCCTGTCTGTCCGTGTGTCCGTCCGTGGTGGCACAGGGGCCGGGAGGGGTGGGGTGGTTTCCCAGCACCTTTCTCAGGAAAGGAGAGGTGGAGGCAGCCAGGAAAACCACCCACCCGCAGCAGAAACCTTGCAGGAAGAGGGAGGCCGGGGCTGGAAGCGGGGAGGACGAAGCAGGAGGGGGGGCTCTGGCTCGGTTTTCCCTGGGGAGAAAAGCTCTGCAGGCGCTGGGACAGACCCCGGGGGCCGGCTGAAGGCCTGGAGGCCGGCAGCAGGAGTCTGGGGAGCTCGGTGTGCCTCCCCTTCCAGCCGCCCTCCCAGGGAGGCCGGGTGTACCCCAAGTCCAGCAGGACAGGCGCCTCTCACCGGGGCGCACAGGCGGGGCTGGGCACCGGGGGAAGGAGCGCTGCGAAGGCTCCCTCGGCAGATGCCGGGAGCACCTTGGAAAGCGGAGATTTGCGATGCCGCGGCCACCGCCAGCTTTCCGCCCCGCTGCCGGGAAGCAGGGCACGACCCCGGGGCCCTGAGCAGCTTTGGTGCGGGGATGCGGAATTAGGAGGTGCGCGGGGCCGGGGGCTGCGCTCCCCCTCGCCGAGCCTCCAGGTGAAGGAGAAAAGCGCGCAGGGGCTCAGGTAGCTGCCGTCGTTTTGGTGCTAAAACTCGTTAAAAGAGGAGGGAGCCGGCGAGACACGGAGTGATTCAGGATTATCAGCTTTGGGAAGGCTGGAGGTCTGCTGGATTGCTGAGAACCATAGGGAAGGGAAGAGTTGTTGTGTTTTGTTTTAAAGAGTACTTTCTAATAAATTCAGTCTTGAGTTAGCAGTCATAAAAAACAAACAAACAAACAAAAACTAAATTTAACATTAAACAGCTAAGGTATCTAACGAACTAACGTAGCGTCAAAAACTGATGGAAAATGATCCGGGGGATAAAATATTTTTTTCTCAGATAAGATGCGGTCGCTCTGACTAGGGCTAATCCTTTACTAGATCCAAAAGTAAAAACGAAAAAAAAAAAAAAAAGTGGCGCAATACACATGCATAGATTTCTAAATTAAGGAATATTTCCATGGTCCCATTCCCCTCACACGAACAGGCAGGGAAAAGGACCTTTTGCCATTTCTGTCCTATCGGACACAGATCGTTTCCGCGCAGAGCGGCGTTTTGATTTTCCAGACAAAAGCAGGGGCTGCGTTTACATAAACTTTCGCCGACTCGTGATGGTTAACATTTCAATATCGAAACCCTCAATCTTGTTTTATTTTAAAGGGGGAAGAGACGAGCAAGAAAAAAAATAATCCGTTTCCCACGTGGATAGGTGATTTAATGCTGTTTTTCCTACTGCTAAGGGAAATGATTGAGCATTAGGTTTCAGTGTTTATTTTCTTACAGAAGTTTTTCTCATTTAAGCTGCAGTTTGCACTCCCTGCTGCCTTCCCGCGTTTAATTCCAGTTTTGATGTGAATTTAAAAAGTGAAGTGCAGAACTAAACTCCTACCATGATAGTTGGGGAAAAAAAAAAAAAAAAAAAAAAAAAGCAGATTTATGAGTGGATAAAACCATATTTTCTTTAGAAACATCCTATCCCTTCTTAGAAACATGCGGCCGTTGTAGAATCGGAGGATTTTCTCAGCTTGTGTATAAATAGTGGGAGTTTGCAAGTGGAAACCCTTTTTCCCCCATTTTTTGTTTTTATTTTTTTCGGAATACACGAACTTTTATCTTCCGTAGAGCCGAGCAAATATTTGGCGCTAGAAAATTTCCTTTTTTTTTTTTTTTTTTTTTTCCCAGTTTGGGCACGGCCCCGTTTGTTTGCATTTCAGAGCGTGGTTCCATTACCTTGCGTGTGCCAAAGCGCTGCTCTTTCTTGCTGGAGCAGCGAATCCGCCCCGGCATTATTTTCCAGTGCCGTTTTCTTAATCGTGTTGTTTGTTTAGTCAACAGGGCTTTTCCTCCCTCTTATTATTATTTTTATAAAGAAAGCGGGATGCTAACTTATCTCCGCTTCAAATGAACACACATGATTTACCGAGATAATAAATCTTCGCAGAACCTTGCTAATGGCATCCGCAGGCAGTTGGAAACGAGCAGCGTTTTTTTTTTTTTTTTTTTTAAACGTCGCTTATTCCGCGGCATCTGAACCCTCCGACGGCGACCCACTCCTTCACGGAAGCCTCATTTGGCCGAGATTTCGAGTTATCATTAACCACCGCCTGCTAAATTAGCTGAGAAATCAGCCCCGCCGGGTGCCGGGCTAGGCGATAGGCGATGGCACCGCGCCGCGCTGGTAGCGGGCTGGTTAATTAAACGCTTAATCCAATCAGCCTAATTCCCCCGCACCGCACCCCGCTGCCTTTTTGCGCTGGGGGCCGGGGGCTCCTGGCCTCCATCCCCGCTGCCTCCCTTTGGGGTCGGGGGGAGCCCAGCGCCCTGCGGCCGGGCCGCGCCGTCGGCCCCGCTCCGGGACCGCTCTGCGGAGCCCCCCGGTGCCCCCCGAGCCTCGGCCCCGGCGGGGAGCCGCGGAAAGGGGCTCCGGGGCGAAGGATCCCCCGGATCCTTCCCGCCGCCGGGGGCTGCTGCTCTCTTCTGGCTGCCCCCCGCCCCGGCATGACCCTCCTCTTTCTCTCCCCCCCACCCCCCTTCGCTATCGGCAGACAAAGGAAGGGGTCGAGGCTGGTCCTGCGCTGCAGATGCTGGGAGAGGGACCGGTAACCCCGGGCCACGGAGCCTCCCGGGCCTCCCGCAGCCTCAACTTTTCCTCCGCCTGTGCCTTGGCCAAATCAGCAGCGGCGGAGGAGCCTCTCCCCGCTCGCTCGGGACAGAGGGGCGTCTTGCGACAGTCCCGCCGCTGGGTAGGGACGATACCACCCAGAGCCTTCATTGGCTGCCGCCTCTGAGGCTCGGAGCAGCCCAGCGGCGAGGGGAGGACGCTGCCTCCGCAGCGCGGAGCCGCGACCGCGGCCGTGGGAGCCGCCGTGGGTGGCGCTGGGCAGGGGGTGCGCGGCCGGGAGGAGAGTGGTGTCAGCGAGCTGAGCTCCAGCCTGGCTGAAACACCTCGGGGGTTTTGTGTTGCTTTGCTTTTATCCCCTCTCCCCTCTCTTTTTTTTTTTTTTTCTCCATTTTCTTTCTTTTTCTTTTTCCTTCTGACGGTGAACACCTCGTGTCCCAAATTGTTTATCTTCTTAGGGGAAAAAAATAAAATAAATAAAAAAATCCTCGAGTGGAGGAGGCTGTTAGGTAGGAGCCTCTAATCTATATTTTGTCAAGAGTATAAAGCTCGTTCCGAAAGGAAAGCTCGATCCATTTATTTTTGCTGCTTGCAATAACACAGCTGGATGATGCCTTGAGCTTTACGCTAGACGGTCGCTCATCAGTCATTCGCCAAGAACTGGCCTAAATGGTGCCTGTGGGATTAGGTCAATTTTAGTGGATCTACTTCGCCTCATTTGGTTACTAATTGGTTTCTTGTTTTATAAATCGAAATCTCATTTTCAGGAAATTACAAAGCCCATGCAGCCAGTCCATTGAGGTAATCCGTGGGTCGGGGGTATTTAAATGGAAATGGTTCCACAATGCATCAGGCATTAAGCAACAGTAAAACTTCGCCTCTGTTTCCAAATGAAATGTGAGCTCGCTAGCTCCTTAGATCCATAATAGATACATCCCTTCTAAGGCTACTTATGTAAATATGATAAACCAGACCCTGGTGGGGGAGGGGACGGAGGGGAAAGCAATTTTTATCTGCTAAGGTTAATGTGGCATATCTTGGAAATCTTCCAAAATAGATTATGTTTTGCTTTGTCTTCGGCCACTTTAGCTGGGAAAATCCTTTGCCTAAAAACGATTTAGTTATCCTTTCCCTTACAAAGCTGCTTGTTCCTATTCCAAACCTATTATTCTGTTGGCTCTCCAAATTACAAGAGAATCTTTAGATCTTGTTTCCAGCGTAATCCTGAAGCAAAAGGGAGAGCTGATTTCCTTGTTTTGTTTTAAATAGACATTCAAAGGATTTGCGGAATTTTCTGCGGTAGGTCAAGTGCGAGATATCGCAGTTTGCCCCCTCGGTAAAAGGAAATTGGATGTTAAAGCGAATACGGGGAAAAAATAATAAAAGAGGAATATCAATGGAGAGGTTTTCTCGCGTAATCTTTAAAAACAGTATTTAAAGGGCATCGGGAGAGCCCGTAGGTTTGGGAGAGCTGGGCTTGGCAGTGAAGAGCAACAGTCTCCGGCTTGAAAGTGCTGAAACATCTGGGAAATACAAAGAAGCGTCTCATGCGTTAGGATTTCCAAAAGCCGGTTCAGGTAGACGAGCGAAAACGTTTAATTATAAAACATTAACAGCCGCGGCCGAACAGCGTGAGCTTTCCACCCGAAGCATAAAGAAGAGCTCAGTGCTCCGTGAAGAACCGCGTTCCCGAAAGAAGTTAACCTGTAATGTCGATGAGCTGTTCATTAACCCGCAGAGGTCGGGTTATTTTCCCTTTTAGAAGAAGAAGAATTAGAGCCGTAAACCTAGATTAATAAGCAACTGAAATCAGAGGCGAGGATTTAGCCCCGGATAGGGAAACCTCGCATCCAGATTTCCCTCTGGGTGGGGGGAATCTCGCAAGAGGCGATCCGGCTGCCCATCAGGGAAACCCCACAGCACTTGGGGGAAAAAAATCACTCGCGTTATTTTATTCATTTATTTTTTCTCTTTCCCTGGAGCATTTGCCAGCTCCTCGCTGATTTCGAGGCGGGTGGGAAGAGGTGGCCCCGGGGTTCCCGCTGCATCCTCGGCCGGCAGAGCCGCTGGAGAGGAAGGCACGGCCAGGGGACTTGGGAGGGAACCTGGGAGGCTCGGGACGAAGCCGCCGCGTCCCCGTTAATTGCCGCGGAGGAGTTAATGGAAAGGATCCCGTTCCCCGCTGGCACTTGGCTCTGGGTACGCGCGGACGGGGGCCAGGCCAGAGGGATGCTCCCGGCTTTCTGGGGGCTGGGAAGGCAAGGAGAGGAGGGCTGTCCCTCCGGCAGGAGGTGGCCAAGGAAAGGGAGAGAAGAGGGGAAAGGCGAGCAGGAGAGGGGCGCGCGGCTCGGGCAGGGCGGCCGAGGGCTGATGCCCCGGCTCGGAGGCAAATCGGTAGCGCTGCAAAGAGCCAGCGCCGAGGTGAGGCCGCTCGATACAGAGGGCTGCCTGCTGGCGCCGCCTTGCCCGTTTGCGGGGACACAGCCGGGGAAAGGGGGGGCTGGCCCTGCGGGAGGGGACCCCCGGGTCCTCCGGCAGTGTCAGCGCTTCTTCGCCCTTGCTTCAGGGCGCAAGCGTGGAAAGCTTTAGCCGCCCCGTTTATCAATATTTCAGTGACAACGCCGTTAAAAGGCATTGCCCCTGCGTAGTTTTACTCCGCAGGAGTAATTTCCATTGGGGTTTTACCCCACCCCCTCACTTCGGGAAAACTCCCGGCGTCTGGAGTAGCGGGCAGGGCCGGGGAGAGGCAGCGCCGGGCTGCTGCGGGACAGAGCGCTCGTTCCGACAACGGAAAGGGGACGGGACGGGGCGCTTGGGGCTTGCTGGGGGAGAGGTCCCCTTCGCCGGACGCCCCCCTCACCTGGGCCGCCTCGCAGGTGCCTCTGGACACAGCCGTGGAGCCCCGCTGCATTTAGTGGAAGGCGCTTTAATTAGGGTGGGGTGAGTGAGGCTAGCTCTAAGGGAAAGCGCTTGACCAAGGGGCTCGGGCAGAGCTGGGGGAAGGCGCAGTTCCCAAAATGAGCGCCCGCAGCCCTCACGGACGGCACCCAGGGTCCCAGCCCGGCCCGGCCGGCTCTACCAAGCCGCTCATCCCCAACTCTGTCGCGCCCCGTTAACCGCATCCTTCTCTCGGCATCAAAGGCTTTCCCCAGCACACACCCTGCTTGCGTTTTAAATGCTCTCGGGGCTGCCCAGGACCCCTTCGGCGATGGGAGAAGAGAAGCGTTCACCCTGCGGCTCAGGGAGCCGGCTGCCAGCAGCCAAAGGCTGCCCCGAATGAGCCGTTTTGTCTGGCACGCTGCTTCCCTTGGGTCTTATGAACGAACCTCACCGTTAACTCAAAATAGGTATTTTTCTCTAGTGGGAACTACGTCTTGAGCAACATCCACAAAAGTGGCTTTTTTGATGCAAGGCAATCATGCCTACCTTTTTTTTTTTTTTTTTTTTTTTTTTTTAAGATTGTACTGCACGTATGTTTTAAAGCGAAATCAAGTAAAAAATAAAGAAAAATTCCTCTCCAGCAGGCCAACAGGACCCAGTTTTGAATCTCCTCACGTTACTTTTTTGTGTCTCAAATAAACAGGACTCGGGGAAGCCTGGGGCCATTCCAGCCGAACCAGCCCGCTGGATAATGTTGGACGGGAGCTGGGATCCCATCTTTTGCAGGTACTGGTCTGGAAACGGCAGCCATGTGGTATTAATGATTAAAGAAATCATTCCCTCTTCTGAGCTTTTAATTGCCACCTTGACTAATTTTTAACTGTTCACGTGTTTCATTTAAAAAAAAAAAAAAAAGTGCCTCTAAAATACGAACAGCCGGGACTGAATGGGTGAACGTGGGTGTTTTGGGGACGTGGTTTGGTCCCCCTGGATCATTTGGCCCGGGTCTGCCCTGCACAGGGTCCGCAGCGAGTGGTTAACAGCGCACATTTTTTTCCCCAAATTAGCAGCAAGGTGACAAATCCCGGCAATGTGCAGAGCTTGAGGGTGATGCGGGGGCAGGGGCAGGTTGGAGGAGGCTGGGCTGGGCAGGAGGCTCTGCACAGAAATGAGCACAAGCGCTGCTCAGGTAGGACGCTTTTGGAAACTCGCTGCTGTCTGAGGGATGCAAGAGTGTTAGCAGTTAGCGTAACCGCGCATATTTGGTGGGATTGCGTGGTCTTTGACGCGTCCTTAATAGGACGGGTCTGTTCTGCTCCCGGCTCACCCAGAAGCCTCGTTTACGTCTGTCGAAATGTGCCTGACAAATCCTCTTGTCCCGTACGGACCTTAATAGCGCCGGGGAGGGTTTTAGACGCTCCTTGACTCGTTTAAAGTCTCTTTAAGAAATGGTCAAGGGATAAAATCCCCCATGGCGTTTGAAATGGGGTGTCAGCGTTCAGGATATGTCGGGTGGACATATTCGCCACCGGGTAGGTGGGAACCCCGCTTAGATGCCAGGTGGGCTGTACCGCAGGACTTTGGAGGGATTCCTGTCTGGGGCTTGCCCGTCTCTTTCCAACTCTTTCGAATAATCACAGCCTGAACAGGAATGCGAGTTTTCTAGAATAAACCCGGAGGACGGATACTTCATGTGTCTGTCTCTCTGTCTTCATCCCTCCATCCATCGGCGGATCTCTCTACCTGTTGATCCGCACCCAACCCTGTTCCTCTCCCTCCTGACCCTCTCCTGCAGACGCTGGACGGTTTCATATTCGTCGTGGCTCCGGATGGCAAGATCATGTACATCTCGGAGACCGCCTCGGTGCACCTGGGCTTATCGCAGGTAGGCTGGGGGAGCTGAAACGGGAGGAGCGTGCGGGAGGTGAGCGGTACCTGCCACGAACCCTTCCTCCTCCTTCCTCGTCCTCTCTCACAGGTAGAGCTGACCGGCAACAGCATTTACGAGTACATCCACCCGGCAGACCACGACGAGATGACCGCCGTGCTGACGGCCCACCAGCCCTACCACTCTCACTTCGTGCAGGGTAAAGTGCCCCCCACCCCACGCATCCGCAAGCCCCCCTCGCCCCTTGTGGCTGCGGACGGGGCCGCGCATCCCTCACTCCCCACGCAGCTCACCGCACCTCTGCCTTCCCCCTCCCAGAGTACGAGATCGAGAGGTCCTTTTTCCTGCGGATGAAGTGCGTCCTGGCCAAGAGGAACGCGGGCCTGACCTGCGGGGGCTACAAGGTGGGTGCCCGGGGAGCCACGGCCCAGCCCTGCCCCGGCTGAACCCCCTGCCCGCGGGGGCTGCCCCAGCCCGGCGCTCTGCCCTGGGGTCCGCACCCAGGATGTCCCTCCGAGGGCCAGGTTAAGGAGCTCCAAGCACAAAACCAAGTGATCGAGTTCCCCGTGTTGATTTTTATTTATTTATTTATTTATTTATTAAATGATCCTCGCACAGCCACCGAGGTTCCCGAGCTGTCCGTGAAGGCTGTGAGGTGACACGGCGCAAAACCCGTGCCTGTATTTATTTCTTTATTGGGTGTCGCTCGTCAGCGCCAGGGGCAGCTCTCCAAGCCGCGGGCTTTTTGCTCGGGTGTTTTCCACAGCTCTGCTCAGGGCTCCTGCCTGGGGACAGCCCCTGCTCTCCTGTCTTCTCACTGCTTCTGCCCCATCTGCGCAGAGACAGAGAGCCGTGGGTACCCGAAACGCCAGGAGATGTTGGGCCACGGTATCCCGTAGAACATCTGCGAAGATTACACCAGGGAGAAACACTCTAGTAACAGAAGAGTAAGGTTGGAAGTACGCAGCAGTAATTTGCAAGGATGCATTTAGGAGGTACACCTAAATCTACGTCCAAAGATGCATTCTGGATCGTGCCTGCTCTATCTGTGTAATAGACATATCTTAGGCATGTGACATACGCACACATGTAAGCCCTTTCTCTCACACGCATACACTCTTCATTACAAAGTTGTAACTGGCTTGGCACTTCCGCGTCTTTCCTCTTTAGAAGAATAATAAAAGCGTAGTTAGGAGGTGGTCCAAAAACCACTTAAGTCAGTGGAGGAGAAAAAAAAAAAAAATCTCGTTGACTCGAACGGGCCTTAGATCAGCGCTGAACCTTCGGATGAAAAATCCCCGGGCAGCCAGAGGGGAAGGGCAGGAGCCCCCAGGCAGGGGTGGTTTGCTCCGAGCCCCCCCCGCCTCAGCGGCCGCGTGTCCCCGCAGGTCATTCACTGCAGCGGGTACCTGAAGATCCGCCAGTACAGCCTGGACATGTCCCCCTTCGACGGCTGCTACCAAAACGTTGGCTTGGTTGCCGTGGGCCACTCGCTGCCGCCCAGCGCCGTGACGGAAATCAAGCTTCACAGCAATATGTTCATGTTCCGGGCCAGCCTAGACATGAAGCTCATCTTCTTAGACTCCAGGTAGAGCTGAGGCTACTTCGCAGCTATTCCCCCACCCCTTCTTCTTCTCCCCCGGGCCTTTCCTGTCCTCTCTCCCACTGATGTTTGCTGCTTGTGTCTCCTCCAGGGTAGCCGAGCTAACAGGCTACGAGCCTCAGGACTTGATAGAGAAGACCCTTTACCACCACGTCCACGGCTGTGACACCTTCCACCTGCGATGTGCACATCACTTGCGTAAGGAGATGCTCTCGTTAAGACCCTGCCCCTCACCCCCCGCCTTCTCCCTCTGCAAAAGGGCTTTGGTTGTGTTAGGATTTACCTCCAGGTTGAAACGTGAAACGTGATTCGCTGCAGGGGAGAATAAGCAAAATCTGCAGCAAGTTTTAATGAAACAAGTGGCTAGAGACTGAGCGCAGGGCTGGAGGCAGAAGAGAGACAGAGGGAACCAGCGATGAACTGGGAAAGAGATTTTCCCCTCCTCAGCTCCCAGTTGTAGAACAAGAACTCCCCTGCACAAACCTCAGGCGTTCAATTCACTTCAAATTCCGGTTAGGAAAAAAAAAAAAAACACAAACCTTTTTTCTTGCTCCAAAGAAGCCATGCCAGCGAAATTCAAATACTTTTGTTCCACTTCCATCAAGTCTCACAAATCTTATCTGTGTATCTAATTTTGACTGCAGTAGTGAGCCCGATTCGGAGAGCTGTTCTTTATTCTATTTTGATATCATGATGACATTAATACATGGATAGATGAATAAAAAGGATATTAATTTCCGGTAAGTTGCCTTACCGGGAATGTAAAGAGAAGAGATAAAACCCAAAGCCAGATTTACAGAATTAAATCTCCACGGCCGTACTTTGGGGAGGGGGCTCACCCCTCCGCTGCCTTCGCCCTACTCCACCGATCTCCCAGCACAGCCCTGGAGAAAGGGAGCCCCTAACCCGGAGGGACCGGCTTCGGGGTCGGGGGTGCCCGGGGGTCTCCACCACCCTTGCCCACGGGGGTTGCCCACCCACACCGCCTCCCCTAACGATGCTAAGCCTTTCCCAGCCCCTCTCCTCGCCTGCGGGCCCCCCTCTGAGGCTCTCCCCGCTTTGTCTCCGCAGTGCTGGTGAAGGGGCAGGTGACCACCAAATACTACCGCTTCCTGGCCAAGCACGGCGGCTGGGTGTGGGTGCAGAGCTACGCCACCATCGTGCACAACAGCCGCTCGTCGCGGCCCCACTGCATCGTCAGCGTCAACTATGTCCTCACGTAAGTGCGCTCCGCGGGGCGCGCACAGATGCGCGGGGGCCGGCGGCGGGCACCTGCCTCTCTCCTCCGCTCTTCGAGCTCCCCCTTACCTCCCAAAGCCCCCGAAAGCTGAGTCCTCCCCCCCCCTCCCCCCCCCCACCCCGGGCCGAAGCAGGCTGGCCAGGTCTGCTAGGAAACACATTGAACGCTTTCATCTAGATGAAGGGTTTCCCGTCTGCCCCTTCCTTTCTCTTTCGGGAGGGGAAAAGATTTAGAGGTTTGTCACCCTCATATTTTGCTGCCCCCCCTCCCTTTTTTTTTTAAAGTTTAAATGCACCCAGCATTAAATAAAATTTAATGCAGCGTAAAAAAAAAAAAAAAAAGATTTCCACGTACGGAGTTATTTATACTCAACAAACAGGACATCTGTTTTTCTTTTCAAAAATCTGGGGTTTGAAGTTCTTAATTTCATCCAGAGTCTCTATCAAAGCTCCGAGATTTCTTTTTTGTTCTTGGAGAGCGATCCTTACAGTGAACCACAAAGAAAGTTGGTGACCAGAAGGGTCAGTTAAACTTTAAAAAAAAAAAAAAATCGGAGAGAATGCTGAGATGCCGTATATCTCAAAGCATCTCCTTGTATTTTGGGGTTGTGGGGTTGGGCTCTGGCTGTGCTGCTTAAACCGAAACTCTCAGACCCGGTGAGGGAGGGCACTGATTTGGAGCCTTTATGCTCGCGATTGACACCTCTCCTCTGGGTGCTGGCGGCAGCACCGATGCTGCATCGCCGCTGCAGCCCCCCTGCGGGGGCAGGACCGGTCAGGCCGCCCCCTCTTCCAAAACCGGGGCCGTGGCAGCGGGACGGTTGCACCCGGGGCGTGCTGAGTGCCTGCACAGGTGCCGGTGGGGTCGGTGGCTGAGCTGCGGGCGAGCATCCCCCAGGGAAGCGGCCCCGCACGGTGGCAGTGGCCCCGGTCTCCCGTTCAGGGGCTTCTGGTTTGCCAGCTCTCCGGTAAGCTGTTTCCCCTTTCAGTAAATCGCTTTTATTGGCTTTAAAAAAGGATGCGGGGCGTGGAGGAGTAACACCCTGGCATCCTCCCAGCAAGGATGCGGGTCAGCAGAGGCACGGGCACCTTTCCTCCAGCTGTTCCAAACACTTGCATGCCCGTGCCCCCTGTGCCAGCCCCTCTGGTTTTCTCAGTTAGGGACCAGCACTTGTTTCAGGTGAGGGGAGAACTGCGGGGAGAGAAGCCGGCGTGTCGTAACGCTGGGGAGCCAGGAATCCAAAGATTCCTAATGTGCCAGGGCCGTTTTGCGCCACCCGTTTTTCTACGAGCACCTGAGATTAGCGGTCACTTTCCACCCCCTTTTATGCGGAGAGAGGGGAACATAAATCCCGGCCCTCTGCCTCAGATGACCCGAATGGCAATGAAACATCCCAGCGGATCTGCTTGATGGGATCCAGCCCCACCTGCCCCCCCGCTTGCGGGGGTGACCGGCAGGGCACCAGCTCCGCAGTTTGTGGGGCCGTGGTTTGTGGGGTGCGTTGCGAGTGGCCGAGCCCTGCGCCCCCGTGGAAACAGCGCGGATCCTCCTCCCCAAACCGAATTCCCGTGTTTTCGCTGGTGGCAGCGTCTTTGTGTTTTCCTGAGTGTACACGGGCCTTAAAGCCAAGGCTGTACTTAGCCCTGCGTCCAGCCAGCCTGCGTAGGTGGGCTGCCTTTGCCCTCCCAAGGCTTCCCTCGGAGGACGAGGCGACGCCGCGGCGCGACTTCGGTGCGCGGCCGCGGGAGGCTCCGCCTGTGCCCCTCGGGTGCAGGGGCCAAAGGGCAGCCGGTAAGCGTGGAGAGGTCCTCACCGGGTCACCAGCTGCTGCAACCGGGCTGTAGGGACACCCCGGCGGCGACGAAACCGCGTTTTGGTCGTGCAGCTCCTCGGGGTCGCATCCAGCCCGGCCGCGCCTCCAGCAGGGCGCTGCAGAAGGGGGCGCGTCCCACTTGCTTCTGCGGCCAGGGGATGCTCCTGGCTTCCCCACCGCTTTTGTGCTGTTATTTTCAGCCGAGGCCAGTGGAAAATAAGGGAGAAGAATAGGCCCTGCCGTGCCCAGGGGATGCTGGCAGCGTGGAAGTGAGAGCTCTGAAATGGGCGACCCGGGATGGGGAGAGCTAGCGGGCAGGGGATGCTGAAAGCAAACCTAGGCTCGGGTTAATTGGCTTAATGAGCTTTTCGGAGTCAATCAGATGAGACAGGTAGGTGGTGAAAATACAGGGGAAAAGGAGAGGTTCCGGCGAGCTGGCGTTTCCATCAGATGTGAAGTAGGCTCCCCTGCAGGAAGGCCGAGCAACGGTCCTGTAGCAAAGTTTTAATGCGTTTAATGCACGTTATTCCGATATAAATCCTCTGGCTACTGGCATTTCTGGGGGTCGCCATTGGCTTGTTCCAGTGGGCCAGGATCAGCCGTGCACAGGGCACCCTGGGTGGGGAGTAGCCCCCAGTCCTGCTGCGGCTTGCGGCGGGGCACGGGCTTGCCCTTTGCAGGAAAGAATAAAAATAAAAACGTCCAGTGCGAAAAGGGGAGACGACCCTATGAATACAGTCCCTCGGGTTTGGAATCCGAGAAAGCGAGGGAGGTGTGAGATAGTGTTTGGAAACAGCGAAGAGCGAAGTTTGGGATTGCAGGGTGGAGCCTGAAAGGTAGGATGCTTCTCGCCTGGAGGTTCCTTTGAAAACAGGCAATGTCGGTATTTTTCAGCGAACTTGGCTGAAAATAACGACAGGGGTCATAAGCTTTGGCCGATACCGTGCAAGTTGTTGAGAGCGCTGAGGAGGTGACTCCCTGGTCCCCTCCTTCCTGCAGGCAATGCCACACGAGCGGTTCGGCTGCTCCCGGCAGAAGGAGCCTTTCCCACTGTTGGGAGGAGCCGGGAAATGCTTTGGAAAGGAGCAGATTCTGGGTGGCACAAGGGCCTTCCAGGTCTGCAGGAGCCGTCTGAGCGCAGGCTGAGCGACAGTGCCTTGCTTTGGATCTGCCTGGCTCCCCTGGGCAATATATGTGAGGAAACCAGAAGGGATGAGAAATGTTTGTGCAGAAGGAATTGCCGATCCCTACTAAAAGAAGGGCCATATCCATCTTCCATGAATCCCAAGCTTTGAGAAAGTGAATTCTAATATTGAGAACAAATGTTTTTGATAAGTATATATACCGAACTGAATAGGTACAGTGGCAAGGGCATTTGAGCAACAAGAGGAAAGGTTACTTTTTGTGTAATCAGAGTGTGTCAAAATTAATATAAATGACCTTTAAGGATTTCAGATTTAAAGCACACACATTTGCTCTTCTTTGTATTCTACTTGGCCTGTGTGAGTACAGACACAGAATATTTGTTTCTTTTCCTATTTGTTCTGTACACACACTAGCCATATTATTGATTATTAGCTGTGCATGTTTATCACATAAAGGGACTCAAGGATGAGTCAATTAATGGAGAATGCAACTGCTGAAGTTAAGTTTATATTTAGATGGCAAACAACCTTCCTTTAAACAAATGGGTAAAGCAAAGTGCAAATCCTTTGACTTTTCGAGCAAGAACAAATATTATAATAATTTGTCCCCAGAGAAAGCTAAGGAAGCTTTTCTATACACATTTCCTTGTTCTTTAGCATTTAAAAGAATAACAATAGCAGTAACATATAGAGGCAACGTGGATTAGGTATTTAATTGTGACTAATCTCTGCTCTGATGATACAAGCATATACAAGTTCCAGTTGTCCTCTTCACATAGCTTTGTCTGGCTGGCTGATTAGAAGCATAAATTGAAGCATGCAATGTGTTTGAAAGATTATTTCACAAATAAATGCCATATTGGCAAATGTTTTACTTAATGATGTGGTAAATGCAATTTAGAATAAATTAACCATTAATTGTATCTGCACACTTCATCTTTAAATTATTGCTATTTATAGCTTTGCATACTACCAGATTTAAAATACTTGTGTCAGCAATGTGATAACATTCTGTGTGATGGGTCAGACTGAAAATGCTCTTTGCTGGCATATTAAGCTTGCATTTGGGGAGGGTTTGTTTCAGGTGGAAATAAAGCTCTTCCCTTATTTTTGGACAATTATAAAGAAAGATTTCTGTAGCTTTTCATACACATCCTCTTTTTGTCTTGTCTCTGGGACATCACCAGAGACAGACCAACCTCTTTCTTTTCCTAGTCAATAGGAGCATCCATACATCGCATTTACATACCTACACTCCCACCTTTTTTACGCATTTCTCTCAGATCAACCTATTTGGACATGCTGCAGAGCCTTCTCCTCTGTCAAAGGTAGATACATGGCTTGTATCTCTCAAGTGGGTGATGGAGTGTGTAGGATAGCAAATAGATGGGAAAGTTATTACTTGCAGAAGTAATTCTGCACGTCCTTACTCATATCATTAGATGAACTACTTGTACAAGTAAGCTTAGCCATCTAACTCTAATACTTGAGATAAAGCATACTGACTTTAACTGCATATTGCATTTTTTTTTTCCTTAAGTAATTGTAAACAGCAGAAACAAATCTGACCTGTGGCTTTTCCCTTATATTTCTCTTTATTAATGGGAATTTTGCCACTTCCTTAACAGTGCATAAAACTGGGTCCCACCTCATTTGTTCAATCTACAATGTACTTTTTTGAGACTGGAAAGCCCTCCATCATTCATGTGATTTGATTAGCAAAGTGAGTATATAATAGAACTGTTTTAATCAGTCAGAATGCTGGAGAAGCACAGGCCTCAAAGAAAAAAAAAAACAAACATAAAAGGATTCCTCTTGAACTACTCTATGCAATATTCTGTTTGTTCACCATTAGTTTTTATTACAGGCTTGTCTCCCTGGAACACTGTTTATATATTTCTTGCAAATAGGAGACAGGCTTTTCCAGGTGTCCACAATACGCTTCTGCAGTTCTTCTTTGTTCATGTAGGGGCTTTCTTAGCTACCATTTGTTTAATTCACTCCAAATTTCCATGCTTGTA